CCCTCCCATATGGCATGGTAGTGTTGAAATTTCCAGGTGAAGTTGGGGTTTGGTGCTAGCATCAGGTCCCTGAATTTTCAGAACTGCATAAAGTCCACAACGATTTCCCACTGTTGGATTCTAAGCCAGACCAACAACTATTATTAACGCAATGAGCCTGAGACTTCTTCTGCTCCTTAAAATTCTCACCTTTTCATGAAGTACGACAGGGACAAATCCTGGTCACTTTTGAATGATTCTATCGGTCTCTCCCAGAAAAACACTTCGATGAAGTGCCTGACTGGAGAGGAGGCTGGCAGCCATCTTTACGGGATAATCATAAGTCACCCAATCTGCCAGCATGAAAGCCTCCAGTGTAGAGTCTCTGGAGAAGTGGGGGTCCAGTACAACCAATACCCGGTGACCCATGGCTGATGTACGGTAAGGAGGTCTACAATATGTTGCATATGAAACTGCAGTAGCGGTAGTGCAGATTCTACATACCTCACGTGACCAACATGCTGAAAGAGTAACTGAAGCTAAAAGTTACAATTTCTATTAATCAGACCCCTTCCGCATCAAACAACTACTTAGTTACATCAGTAGTAATATCACAGACATTTCACATTGATTATAATGTAGTAGAAAGTTTGTCATTCCAATTTCTTAGAATATCAAAAGCTACTGTTGGTGTCAAAGTTACGTGCACAATATGTTGCCACTGCCTCCTCCGAGTCCTGCCTAACAGCACCTGAGCAATATTCTGTGGAGATGTTGGATTATATACCCTTGATACCTGACACCAGTCAACAGAAATACTCTATACCACTATATATGTATGATCGACTGGTTTACTTCCACCAATTGCACTCTGAGTTTTTGAAGGTAACATTTGGAAAATCACAGAGCAGTCTTTCCTACTTGTAAGTTGCCACAGAGTTATGATGCAAATATGTGTTTTTGACCTCTTAAGTTACATAATGAACCAAAGTATGGATACAAGCTATATTAGCAGAAAACTTGTATTTAAAATTCTGGACTAATCCCATACACATGTAATAATTATGTGGACTTGCCTTTAGCTTGAGAAAGGTTCCAAAGATTGGATGTATATGAAACAATTTAGCTCCATCCACATTTATTCTTGTGCAGTCTGTGTCTACCGAGTTTAGGAGTGTCCTTGAACCAGAAGATACTGACATATTAGCTAAGACCCTAATTATGCCTGACATCGATGATCTGGCCTTGACAAGCCCTCAACATTGCAACTGGATACCTTAACCTTAACTACTGTGACACTTGATTGTACAGATGCACCATGCACTCCCTTTGTGCACACTGGTCCCCTCAATAATACATCAACCCCTTACTATGTATGCCAAGGCAGTTTCAGTCTTGAAGAGCGTATTTGGGCTTTTTATTATTATCAGACACTTACAATAACTAGTATGTACTGACCCAGGTAGACAAATTATATTGGATGAAAAATATATCAATGTGGGCAAGGAGAGAAATACTGTGAACTCCCTACCTAGATGATACGATCTATGGATGGTTGCAACTGCAGGTCACATATTTGGTCTAATAGTTGTTGATCTTGTTGTTGGCAGTAGCTCTGCTTCCTAAAGGTCTTCCAAATCTCAACCCCTTCTTAAATTGGTTCCTGCAGCTCACTTTCACTCAAGGCCGCTAGTGGGGTCAACCAGACTTCTCAAGAGTTACTTTCACTGGATGAAAGTCCCTCACTATTTGAGGAAGGGGCTGGAGAGACTTTGGGCTCACTGACATTCCCAGACTACCACAAACAAAAATAAGTCTCAGTTGCAGTAGATAAGGCCTTTGAGGCAGTCTCTCACTAAAGATCCTAAAGTTATTGGTTGCTCTGGCTGCATAGCCTGGCAGCTTTGGATAGCATGGCGGGACTGGTCAAATGTAGACCTACTAGGAGGTCCTGTCCTCTCGGAGGTATGACACCTAGATGAAACCTGATATTTCCTGGAGAATGGTTAATAAGGGTAAGATGAAGATTCTGGAGGCATATCTTGGGTAGTTGACGTCTTTTTTTTTGAAGGACTTAGCTACATCAGGGGACTAACAAGTACTTTAGATCCATAGACTATCCCTAGAGAAAGTATTTCTTGTGAACACTTAGATGAGCTTGGTTGAACAGTTAAGGGATTTGCCTCCATGGGCACCGCAGGGGAAATACCAGGCTAACACTTTTCCAGCTCGTTAATCACAATCTTCAAACATAATCTCCAGCTGGCCAGGTTGGATTCTACCATAGGTGCTGGTAAATTCCCACTAAGCCTGGACTCTAGCAATACACATTGCCAATCCAAAGGGCACTCTGTGGGGTCAAGCATGTTCCCATATAAGCATCTCATGATGGGATTCGTTGTCTTTAGCCAATCCTCCCAATCTGAAGAACAATTGATTTTCTGAACAGACAACAGCTGAACTCATTCTCACCATAGCTCCCAGGCATATTGAGGTGTTCCTCAAGAAGTTTCTCTAGCCAATCTCCTAGTGTGCTGTTTGTAGTGCTTTGCGATAAAAGATGTATGACAGAGACATGGAAATGGAAGTGCTACAAGCAATACGAAGGAGGGATAGATTCTAGGAGAGGTGAGCAATATATCCACCTTGTTTCCAATATTATGTGATCTGAGGTGAATTGGAGCAGGCATGTGACTTCTTGATGGAAGTTGTGCATGATCTATCTTGTGAGTTGTCTCCTAAAGTTTTAAGTGGAGTCTGAAGCCTCATATCTCGCTCTGAGGCTTAGTCCACTGCCTTCGTCCTCATCCCATAGGCACTCTCATGGGTGATAATACTGCAGGATTGCATGGTCCCCACAGGTTGGTGATTGTGTGGATCTCAGGTGGAGTAGCCCGGAGTGTCTGCAGTTACTCCAACTTCTAGCTATTTAGCAGATCCTGGGGAGATATGTGATTTATGCCTTATGGCAGATATTCATCTTGTGAGAACATATTATGTAGGTTTCCTCAATAGCAGCACCCTGACTCAGAGTATTTGCCTCAATAAGTTCCGTAAACAATATTCAAGTCAATATACTATTGAATACTATGGGACAGGGTACATATATGCGGAATTGCTGCTATCTTTCCAGTATTCTTATGGGTCAGGCAGCAATACAAGTGAGTCATTGTGATATCTGCAGCATCAGTTACTGATTCTCTCTCACAGGTGTCTACTAGAACTCAACAAAAGCAAGCAATAATGTTATTACACCAAAGTTCTCATCGTAATATCAAGCTTGATTTTCTGGTGATCCTAAGAGTCTAGAGTGACACAATTCATGAGTGTTTCTTGTATTTACAGCAGCAGCATTTTCTCACCACTAGTACCACGATGATCTTACTCTTCTGTTACTAAGTTAGTCTTACTCTTTTGAAGCCGTTCAATTGTTGAGTGTCATTGCAGGTCATATATCCAAGTACAAATCCTTACTCGGGTTTCCTGGAATATCAAGAATACAGTCGGGCAGCCGTCGACATTACCTTGGACTCAATGCATTGAGCACATAAGTTTCATGCCACCCAAACTGTGTTGCTGCTTTGTTCCATCGTTTTTGTGCACTGTTTCGGCTGATTTTGTTTTATACCATTCCAATGTATCTTATTTGTATTTGTACTATATAGTAATGATAGCAACTTGAATTAATAAGATATGAACCGTTCTCGCATGATATAAACTACTCATAAGGAATGCAAAGGAGTGAAATCTCGCATGCCATTAATATTTCTGTTTCTATTATACTCCCCTTGCAATTGATATGTTCATTTTGCCAACATGGGCAAAGATTATCAGATCTTGGGAGAGATCAGCAAAAATGGAGCTTGAGGCACATCAGGGCATTTTTTCTGACACTCATATTGGCTGACATCTTCTCAGCTCCAACAAGGTCTGTTTCTAAGTGGGCCTAAAGCTTAGTGCCAGTGTGCCGGTACAGTCTCACTCAGCATCTATGACTTATAGTATGATGGCTTGGATGAAACACATGGCCTCTTGGGCTGTACTACAGCCACACTTCACTGAACTAGAAGCTGTGCAATAGGAGGATACAACAATATTTGAGCTAATTCGTGAGGATCTAGGAGTAAGTTTCCATCATGCTTTTCCAGACTCTAGATGCATATAACGGTTTGTGCTTGTGTTCTAGATCCTCAGACCCATGGTATCAAGATTACTGTCAAGTTCATTGGACTCTCCCTTCAGATCATGAACTATGCCAAGCTTTTATTCAGTTCTGCCTGATGAAAATGTGTCATCATCAAGCGTCTATGAAGGTTCTGCTAGAAGGAGTAGCTGAAGGTTTGGTCTTACCAGGCTTGGACCAAATTTTTGAGGATACTACACTCATGAAAAGCGATGATATCATCTTAAGTCAACTATCTTCTGGAGCTGAAGCCCTTTGTCTTGGGTGGAAATCTGCATTGGTGAACTTCTTTGCCCAAGGAACTCTGGTAAGATCTTCCAATACAACTCATACACAAAAGAGATTATCTAGAAGAGGGACATAAGCTGGAGCTTCCAGTAGTAACTACATTGCGGGAGCTCTGAGCCTGGTCTCACAAAATCACTAGAGCCAATAGTTCTAAGATGGAAGAAGTTATCTTGGCAAGTGTGATGTTTTATTTATTCCATACAGCAAACGATAGTTCTAACCAGGATCTCAGAGTTTTGGACTGGGTCATAAACTCCTCTGGATTGCCCACCCCCAGGTGGATTTGGAGAAAAAGACTCCTCACATGTCCCTGAGCTTTCAAAGATATCATTGGAAAGAGAGTCTCCTTGGTTGTTTGGTGGGCTTTGTGGATCTTGTTATTTCGCCTGCTATAGGTATCAGCCAGGTCACCAAACGAAACACTCTTGAATTTTTGCAACTGCTTTTCTTGCATCAAATGTGTCCATTTTGATCTAACTATGCCTCTGTATTTGCATTTTCCTCCGAGAAGTGCTTATTAGTTGAAGCTGTTCAATGGATGTTGCCCACAATGGCCTCCAAGTTATCCCCTGAGTCTGGTGCTTGTGTAGAGTTATTCCCTATATCATCTAAGGTCAGATGTCTTTGATCACACTAGTTCTACAGATATCCCAAGCCTCCTTGAGCCATTTATTTTGTCATATCTGTGGTTTCACCCCTAAGGAATTGGAAGCTCTAGGGCTTGATGAGAAATTGCTTCCGGTTCTGATTCTGTCTGCTCAGCTGAGGCTCCTCCACTGGAAGGCGTCAAAATATTTTCATACCTGGTTCTGGAATGAGGTCCATCCTTCAACAGGGGTCTGTCATTTTTGCTACTCTGAGCCAAAAAATTACAAGTGCATAAGATACTGGACAGTACAGTCCACCCCTCACACAAAAATACAAGGAAAGGTTGTCACACCATATCCCACCAATGATCCTGATTACCTTACACCAACACTGGTGAGTATGACTAATCAGATGACTTTGCAGATCTTCTCTTACAAATTTTCATATAGGGCCTTAAGAAGAATGCTGACTATGTACATTTGGCCGATCTGAAGTTGCAAACAATTGCCAGCCAGCCTCTGGTGCTGGCTCATTGCCAATGTGATGTCACCCTGTTGATTGAGGCCGGCTCGCCCAAGAAAGTGTTGGCTGGTGTTTCTTTTAACACCTTTTCAGCCCAAGATCTTCAGGAGATGCAATGTGATGCCTCGGGTGCCAAGGATATCCGAGCCCTTAAAAGAGGCTACCAGTTCCAGAGATTTCACTGGGGCCAAATGCATCTCATAGGCTCCCAAAAACATTGTGGGGGCAGACCTGGAGATACCTATACTGGCTATGCTGGCATGGAGGTGACTGATACTGAACACATTAGGCTGCTCTTTTCTCATGTGGCTGTGCGTGAATGCTCCCTCTCGTCTCTCACTTAATCTGACTGTAGTTATAAATATCCCCAGGATGTGGAAAGGATGGTGGCTGCTATTCCTCTATTGCACCCTGATGTCACCGGAGAGCTCTGGGATTTATCTGCTGAAGTCAATTTATTGGGGGGATAGGAGCCACTGCCTATTACTGTTGGAACTTTGAATGAGTGTGAGTAGTTCACCGATACACCATGTAATCAGTGCTCATCCCATCGGTCTTGCAGTTTATCGTATTTATTGGCTTTGTGCCAAGGCTATGAAAGACTGGTGGGCATAAGAGTTGTTGCTTGTTCAGCATGAAATGGATTGGACATGTAACTTTTTCTGTCAGAAGGCTGACAAATGGATCCTTCTCGGTGCCATCTCGAAGCTAGCCAAGAAGCAGGGACATATGGTGTATGCGGAGAGGCAATGCAAAATCTATCAATGGCTGTTCGGAGAGGCGAGAGATTCATTCAACCGGGCAATGGCTGCATATCCACTGGTGTAACACACTAGTATTTTGAATGCCAAAGGCTATGCTCAATTAGTTTAGTCTCGCTGAAGCACATATGATGGCACTCATCAGTGGGGTTGGAGGTCATCGGCAATGGTCGCCACTCTACAAGTCTCCGGCAGAGTGACATCAGCAGTCTGAAAAGTTGCCGGAAGTGGTCAAGCAGCATCTTCATTTGGTATTTATATAAGGGGTCCTCTCAATTAGGTGACAGCTTCATATCCGACAGTCTAACACTAGTACATCACATGCCAAAGCCTGCCTGAATATTTGCTGACTCAATTTATTGTTGCTGGAGCATTTTCAGGTTGTTGGCAATGGCAGCTAATCTGCAAGGGAGGATCCTACAGTCCGTGTGAGCATCTAGCGGAGTCATATCGGCACACCAATACATCACCCAAAATGGTGAGTTTGATGAACTTGGTAGCTTGAGTAGCATTTGAAGCCTTGCCAGATAGAATTTGGTGAACAATAGCTCTTTTGTTCTGTGGAGTAAGCTTGGGGGGACATCCCATTTTATGATTTTCCTTCTCTAGCATGTGTTCCTTTATGACTGTAGCAATAGTGGACTTGCCAAGACCAGTTTTGGAGGCAATTTGCCTAGTAGATAAACCAGAGGTGTAGAGAACAAGGATATTATCCTTTTGAGCAGAGGAGATGGGTTTCATGATGATTATGTTGAATGTCATAATCTTATATGGGTTTATATATTCAAATGATATTAAAATCAGACCAAATCAGTATTATGACACTACTTTAATCAAGAATATAATGTATGAATGGTCTGATTTTGTAATTTTAATGAAAAGTCAAAAAGTGTCGGAATGAGTCATGTATTTGAAATTACCATATCTTGCCCATATATGGTTGGATTCTCACTATAAATATTTAAAATTTGAGCCAGGATATAGGGCCTCCAGAGGTGTCCCTATATCATTTTGTCATCATTGAGTCCTGGCTTGCCATTGCCCAATTACTTGAAAATGCATAAACATTCGGACACTTTTTGAGCCACTGTTTGAACTGGCATCTGTGAAGCCAGCCATTTTGACATCTCCATGCTTACTTCACACCTATTAATACATAGAGAACATTACAGGTGACTACTTAGACTGGTGTTTACTCTATGGCCTCTTTCTTCAAATACTTGAGTAGTTGGTCAGATGCAGTGATGGCTTGAAGTACATCATCACCTAAGGCCGTGTCCATCCTCAGCATGGTGGTGGCAACTATCTTTGCCTCTACAACCTTGTCTTCCAACAATTTCAAAATATATTGGCCTTCTTTCCTAGCCTTGGCACGGACTGTGGCAAGCTGTTGAGAAATCGGTATTGACATTGGTTGCGCCGATGTCACTGGTGTGATCAAGGCAGATCCCTCCAACTGCAACCAGTATTGTTAGTCATCATTTATGACAAGTGAAGAATCTTACCAACTGCTCAAAATGCGCCGTGACACACTCCTTTACCTCATGGCAGTCCAGGTATGTTGTGAGGAATCGCCGCTCCAGCTTGAGAGTTGCAACCCCGGTCCACCAAGTGTGGCAATACTCACAGATGAGGCGGCCCTTCGTTCATGGCCCAGATGGCAATACTGGTAAACTCATGGATGAGTCATATACCTCAGCATAATCTTTCATCATCCCGAGCTGTTTCATTGAGAGCATGCCGACAAGGTATTGGAGGTGCTGCAACAGTGGTGGGTTGATTGATAATTTGGCACAAAACATCATCTAAGGTAGTGTGTAGGCCTGGAACTTAAATTAACATCTCTGGAAGATAGGTGCACTTGAACTTACTTCTATGTGGTACCTCTAGCCCAAAGTTGCAACCCCACCATCCTGCAAATACAACTGCTATGTAGAGGTCACTACCAAGAATGAGATGAACATCGATGAAGAGTGCATTATCAAGGTCACACTGAAGATGGGTGCTAAGAAAGTAAGTTGGACCATATCATTGTTGCCTTATCTGACTCCTCATCAGCATAGATCACTAACTTGGCAGGTGCCGTCCTGATGGAAGATGATTTTGCTGATACTTCAGCACCCACATGGGCTCCTCACTATGGCCAATGTGTAGCCTGTGATGTCATCTGCCATCAGGGCTACAATAAGAACAATGGCCAGATGTTAAAGGTTTGCGGACTCTGCAGCCACCTCAAGATTCAGTGCGGTGGCAAAGGCTCTAGTGCTCTGCCTGCCAAAGGCAAGTCTGTTGCTGCCTGCCGGGCCCATTCCCAGTCCTGGTGCCATCCTTCGCTGATGCCAGGTAATATCATTTCTTCCATACTGATGACATACTAACTCCAGTCATAGAAGACCCTGCCCCTGACACTGGTCCATTGGTTGAGGAAGAGCCAGCACATCCTGCGACACCAGCGGTTCCTAATCCTGAGCCATCTCAAATGGAGAATCCTGAGGCCACTGGCTCATCATCATCCATCCTCCTGCCATCCTGTGTCACCCATCAAGAGGAGATTCAAGCTCTCAAGACTGAAGTCACCTCCTTTTGTGCGACCATTGAAGCACTGCTGTCTCAGGTGCTGGCAGGTGACCTGCAGCTACAAGATGCTTATTCGTACTTGGATGCACAGGATCACTGCAGCAATCTGCTCGCCAGACAGATTGCTGACATCTGACACCTCCTCAATCTGCCTTCCTCAGCGACTCCAACAGATCTTACCACAAATGAGTCTGATAAATTGGCTGCTGGTCCAGCCAATGACATGAAGGAATCAGTGTGCTTGCTGGTTGCTCTAAAGACTCCTGAGCCTGAGCCTGAGGAATCCCAGGCTTGTGGTGAGTCGCCAATCTAATTGTATCATACATGTTGTGCCGCATAGATGTGTTTCCCTTGTTATTGTACCATATATACCCACTGTAGTTTAGTGTCAATAATATATTTATGTGTCTAGTGGCGGGAATCGATTGGGTGAGTTAGCCCAAAAATTGTAAATAGAACTGTGATCCATATTGATGTCATTATGCTTATTTGGTGTGATTCACCGGCATTGTGAGTGGCCATACATATGCTGCCGGCGGGACCAGCCAACAGCAGCATTTTTATGTCTTGCCAGTTCAATCATGCTTGGCCGCCTTATATGTTCTGCCAGGGAGATCAGCCAACAGCAGCATGTACATTCTGCATCAGTTCAATTATACTTGGCCGCCGTGTATACTCCAATGCAATGAAAATTAACCCCTGCTCATCAATTTCGGGATATGGTGTCACATGAGCCCATCTGTGTTTGCTGTGTATCTCACATAGGCCAACTCTATCGATCTGGCATGCATCAGCCCACCCCTGATACCAGAATACACTGCTGTGGCCCACCAGTATGCAGGGTATCATCTGTATGAGCCCATGCATATGAAGGGATTCAGTGGGCCCACTTGCTAGCGACAGAATGTCCACTGGGCCAACCCCTAGTATCCACGCGATATACCAGGCCCATCTGCTCATCGTATTGACTGAGATCGGGCCCAGCTCATGTATCAGATAATCAGCAGGCCCACATTTTGGCAACATGATGTATTAGCCCAGCCCACCCGTATCATCTCTGCAGTTTCCCGGGCCTGCTTGCCTGTCTAGTTGATTGCTGTGGAGCCCAGCCCATCTGTCACATCACAGGTGGGCCCACCTGTGAGCATATTGACATTGACTTGGCCAGCCCTACAAACCAGGGAACTGGCCTAGGCCCACTCTTCCATGGTAAGAAAGAGAAATGGGCCCAACCCACTTATCAGCGGATGACAGGCCCACACTACATGGACATACATCCTGCAGGCTTGGCCATTGCGATGTGACACATTGTGGGCCCAACCAATCGTTAGAATTCATATGTGGGCCCTCTCATATGAAAGGACACTGCATCAGGAGCACCCACCAGACAACATTGCTGATGCACGGTGACATTTTCAATAACTCGCCAATTGCTAATTGCAATCTAGTTGTGATTCACACCACTGTTCACCTGGTTGAAAAATGCCCAATTGCCGCTGATTGTGCTCAATCTAATTTCAGCAGTAATCCCCACCTGCTGTTTTTAATGAATTTATAATATTGGCTGCCAGTGTAATTCATCGCTAGTTACGATGATAATGATTGCACCTGCTGGCAATGACATGCATGATCCTGCTGGTTGCACATCTTATTTGCATTTACCGGCACAACTTGTGTTGTTCACCGCCCCTTATTGCGCCAGTGATCGTGTAGACAGACCTGAAATACATGGGCCCACTTGAAACTGTAGGGAAAATACCTTTCCAGTGTACTATGGGCCCACCTCTAATATAATGTATGCCCATATAGACTTATGTGGGCCCACTGCAACATTTCAATGAATATGTGCAGTAGGCCTACTCATAATTATGGGTCACATGGCATATACAGGCCCACCCAAACACAATGACATACCATGATAAGGTGGGCCCATGTCACTCGGAAGAAATGTCAAGATAGGCTGACCATGTTTATAGGGTTGGGCCACTGAAGGGGTTCTAGAGGTGAGAGGATCACATATTCCTGCAACATCCTGATAAGGATCTTAAATGACAAGCACTTTCAAGTAAACAATGAAATTATCTAGTCCAGTATGGAGCTTTCATAATTATATATCCATGAGTCAATACCAGTGGCGATCAATACGCAGGAACAACAGAAGACCCTAATCATTTTTTGGGTGCCTTTTGCTGTCTCTTTCACTTAAGAAGGACTTGAAGTCAAACATCAGCACACAATCTCATATGGAGCTGCAGTGAAATGGGTGATGAAATATGAGGATAAGCATTTCCACAAAGATTTTTATTTCATGTGTTGTCAAATCCACACAGCTACTATGCCAATTTTCTGAGCTGGTTCATTTATCAGAACAGCCTCATCAAAACATCTCCAAATATTGGCACAAGTCAAGGTACACAGGATAATACAATTATTCTGAACATGGTGGTCAGGAGTACATAATCACAGGTGACAAAAAGCAGACAAAGGCACAATAATACAACAAAAATATGAGGCCACAGAACAGACCAAGAGACACATGAGTAAGGCAAGCAAGCATGAATGTCGGAAAACAAAGAATGATGTGCTGAGCTGAGCCAAGACGAGCCAGAATGTAGGACAGAATCATATAAAGGCTACCGACATGGTGAAATTTGCAGGAAAACAATCATAGCCAGTGGCAGATAAGATAACACGCGTGTGCAGGAGGGATTTTTAGAGTATGAACAACAATGCATGGGACCAGCTTGAGTGAACACCACTGAGAGCATGAAGCCAATCAGAAACCTGTAAAGAGCAGATGTGCAAACACACAATTTGACAAGAGAAGAAAGTTGAAATGCAAATGACACACTGCAAGATTGAGAAGAGGAAGCACGAAGCAGTGCAAGGATATCATATAGTAAGGAAACAGCAAATGATCATCGAAATCAATGGCCACCAATAGTGTCAATGCAACACCTATGAAGGTGCCAAACCAAAGAGGACCAACAATTCAACAGAGCCTATAGTCCCAGACAGCAAACAATCATTGCACTCAAAGGCCACCGACAGTGTCAGTGCAACACCTATGAAGGCATAAAGCCAATGAGGACTGACAATTCAATAGAGCCCATAAAGTCCCAGACAGCAAGTAAATAGACAATCATTGCACCCAGGGGCCACTGACAGCATCAGTGTAACACCTATGAAGGTGCAGAACCAACAAGTGACAATGAACAAGAGGGGAGGGTGGCCACCATCAGCAATGATGAAACACCTATGAAGGTGCAGAACCCAGAATGGTGGAAGTAAAGAAGAAAGAATAATTGCAAAAGAAAATTGAATATATAAACTTCACATCATGTGATGTTCACATGCCACCAGGGTTTGAAACCTCATTGGTGAAATGTGTGACATTCAATGATGAATGTCCTTATCTTACAATGTCGCATCATAAGACAAGGACAAGGACAATCATCATCAATAAATGTTCAGTCAGTATGACAGTACTTCAAGCAGCACTCACAATTTGAATGCTACAGAAAGACATAATACAAACCAGCGAACATAGTTTATTAATGGTACATATAACATGTCTTCAAATGAGGTAATTAAGAGTGAGATCAAACTTGTACAATTAACTCTTAATATGTTGTGATGCTGCATGGTGCAGTTGAATATTACTGGGCAGGAGGACACTATCATATTCAGTGCTGGTACTGGAGGGTTTCATCACTCATGCAGATGGCTATGTGAATGTGTTCTCCACACATAATGATAATACTTCCCCAGAAATAAGTCTAAATCAATTACTGCACGAAGGACATGAAAAAATAAATAATACATTGTTGGTATGTCTCTACAACACTACACTACAAACAAACTTCAAATAGCCAATTTGTGATTCAGAGAGTAGAAATGATTTTAACTACAAGGACAGAACAGGAGAAAAACTTGATTTATCTTGAGATGCTCAGGAGAGAGAGAAATGTGTTATATCAGAGGGTGCTGTGACTGTAGCCCTCATGCTATACATTCAGTAGTTGTCTCAACACTTGATAAAGATCATCACTATTTATTGTGGACCCCAGCATGATCTGATTACCCATGTATAGGCTGGCTCCAGGGCACATCTTACTAGATATTCCAAGACATTTAAAGATTGCATTTGTGATGTCAATGCTTGGTTTTGAAGTTTCAGATGTTGCTATGGAACTTAGGCTACTACCCTTGGCACAATATTGTAGGGACTTTGTGATCATCACCCAAAGACCAATGAGAGATCGCCTGTATAAGACTAATTGTGATTGGAGACATGTGTGTCTGTGTGAATGATGATGTCTTACCTATGGTTGGGGAAAGGTGGAGTATCATAATGATCATCTGACATAGAGTATCAAGGGCATGTTCGAGATCTTGATTGGTTGTGGAGTCCATGACTTTTGCATCAATGTAACAGGATAGCTCCATAAAATGCATGCACACATAATGGTAGAAATGACCACCAGTAGCAAATGATGCTACCGGGATATACACAGCATGCACTGTGCTGGGTGGCAGAATTCTAGATAAATGTAAGGTGTGACATTTTAATGACAATAAGATGGAACTTACAATAAATCACCTACTCAAAGAATGATCACTTTGGCATCACATTGTCTCCTGACCCACCCCTTGTGAGATGTGAAGTCAACAAGAATAGCCACAAAATTTGGAAGGTGAATGTGACTGTCTTGCTGATCCTTGGGCCTAAAGACAACTCAGAATTTGACTCTGATCTCGATCTGTGTCCATGTAAGCATCCCCTCAGCATCATGATGGAGGTATGTAAGAAATCCTGGATGGTGTAGTAATCCTTATCCCTCGAGCGTAAAATTTTCAGGATGAACCTTAGACAATATTGGAATGCTGTGTGTGATCTGGTTCCATCCATGAACTAGTCCATGATCAAGGTTTCTGAATGTCAATTATACATATATTAAGGGCATGCAAGAAGGAATCTCATACCTTAGCGGTTTCGGAAGGGTCACCTGTGTGAGTGGTAAGTCCAGGACACATTGAATATTTGTGGTATCTGCCATAGATTCGAAGGATGAAGAGATTGTACCAGAAACAGTCAGATAGATGTGGTCTTGTGAATGCAGCATCACATCTGCATTGATCTTGTATTATACACTAAGGCTACAACAAGAAGACCACATACTATGAATACAGACAGGTCGATGTGGTGAGATTTCAAATGTTCTATCAAGGTATGAGGGAGAGAGGCTTTTGGGTGGTGGATGTGTACAAACATCTCTCATTACAACATGTTTGTTCTGGCTGAAAGACAATCTGACAGCATGTAACATCTCGTCATGGAAAGGTGCATCAGTCGGAAGATGAATAACATGTTGAGAGGTAGAGGTAGATATTGGAAAGTTAAATAAGAATTTAATGATTGGGATATCCACGGCATCACAAACATTCACATTTGTTGTATCATACACAACTGGGAGAATAGTCCAGTGACCATTCTTCCAGGTGATTGTGTTATTGGTGCTCGGAACTTGTATACCTAATATGTCAATTGTAAGATTAATACGAGAATCTGCATGAGGATGAACTTTGAACATGTTTGTAAGGGTAAGGATGATGATGGGTCCAAATGTGAGTATCTTACTGATGGTTGATCAGTGAGAGATGATATCAGTATATTGATGGACACCACTTGTTCTGGAAATTCCCAATGCAATGCATCAATCCGCAAAGTCCTAGTTGGGCAGATAATCAGGAAACTAAGTAAATGAAAATTTAATCATTTTTTGCAATGCCAGAATGGACTTCATTGAAATTACTAAGACAGCATCACAAACATTCACTACATTATTCAGATATCAATTGTGATTGTTACATGTATGTAGTACAAAGACATGTGC